CTTCTCAGATGCCTCGCCACACCACCTGCAAGGACGTTGCTGCCCATCGCCTTTGTGAATGTGACATTACTTGTTGGTGATGATGAAGACCATCAAATTCCAAATTATATATATAGTTATAAATATATAAACTAGATTCATCTTTCTCTTCCCCCCACCCCTAAGGAATCTGATAGATCTAGGGTTTATGTTATGGTCTCATAAAGCACTATTGTATTAAAAGAATTAGTAATGATTTAAATCCTATTGTTTTTATATCAGTTTATATAGATGTATATAGTGTCACGGCAAAATCCGATAACAAACCGTAAAGCTTGCCTTTCTTTCATGAGCTCATAAAACATTATCTCATTAAAATTAATAATGAAATATATAATGGAATCTTGTCAGATTTTTTCATACTTGTAATGTATTACCTCTGTACTTTTTATAAAATCCAAATAATTAAATTGCGTGGTTTAAAAATATTACTGTTAAAATTAACAAACGGAGAAAACTCATGTCCAGTTGATTAGGTCCAGGTCCAACCAGTTCTCCAATTAGCATGTGCCACTTGGATTAACTAAACACCTCATTACTTCACAGCGTCTTCTCCTCTGTTAATGAGTCGCAACGTTACTCATCTCCTTCCTCCTTTTTTTTTTTTGGGAATAACAAGGTAAGCTTGAGCTTGAGAAATTAACAAATCAAAACAGATTACAGCAGGTGAAAGAGATCCGAGATAGGATTACCAAGATCTTGTGAAACTTGAGCCTCACAGAAGGCAGGAGATTCCTGTAGATACAATCATTTCCTAAATCTACAATACTATTTGCTACTATGGATCTCTCCTCCCTATCTCTGTTCACGGGTAGTGATTGTGAAGAAATGATGGCAGCCGATGAGAAATGTCGATAGTAGCCAAGCAGTTGCAGCGGCGATGAAGAGAGGGCAGTGGCAGTGCACTCGGCAAAGCAGATTGTCAGCGGAGGAAGATTCACAAGCAAAGGACGACAGCAATTTGTGTTATGGATTCACGATCGGTGAAGAGGAGTGGCCATCGTGATTTGCAGGTATTGGGGTATCAATGGCCTGAGATTCTGAGGAGGTACTTGGTTTTAGAATCGTGATTGTCATCAAATCTTGCTCAAGTCTCTATTTGTAGGTTCTTCCCTCTCTCTTGCTTCATCATCATCTTTCTTTAATCTTGAAATCAATCATTGAAAGAGTTGAAGACCTTGTTTTTAGTCCAAAGATGTTTAGGTACCCATGGTTTTGAAAATCAAAGAACTGCCTTCATGCATAAAAATTTCATATCAGTATAATTCTAAAAGCAAACTTCTCTTATACCAGCCATCCTCTTTCAATTCGTCGATAGAGAGAAATGAAGCACCCTCTTTTAATCAAAAGAGGAGTGAAGCACCACTTTGATTTGTTTTATTTTATCGTGACTCATGAATGGGGAATCAATTGATAGCTGCTGAGTACTGTAATTAATTCGATAGTAGCAAACAGAATTGTAGATTTAGGAACTTGCGACTGGTTAACGGAGGGAGACAGTGTGAAATGGTGAGGTGTTTAATTAATCCAGGTAGCACATGTTGATCGGTGAACTGGTTGGACTGGACGTAATGAACTGGATATAAGTTTTCTCCCTAACTAGAAGTAATAAGTTTATAAGAATTGTGTTTTTTTAAATCAAATATACCTTTAAAAAAGGTAAGTGAGAGAGAAATAATAAGAGAAAAAGATAAAAGATTAGGCATGAGAAAATGATGATGCGACTAATTAGAATAAAATTGGTAAAATATATTTAATATTTTTTTGGCCAAAAAAATATTTCAGATATTGAATTGGCTTCCCGATTATATTTCGCCTAAGATAAAAGAAAAGATAGGAAATCTTTCTTTTTAAAGTTATTGTCCCACTAAAAAATACTCCTCCGGTCCTAATTATAAGACCCAATTGACTTATTTGAGGAGATTAAGGAAGTAAGTTAAGTTGGTTATTTATAATAAATAAGTGTTGTCATTCCTAAAATATCCTTGCTAATTAAGTATATTGGCTAAAACTATCATTATTAGAAGGATTATCTTGGAAAAAAATGCATAAATATAAGAGACAAAATGGATTGGGTCTTATAATTAGGACCAAATAAAAAGTCAAATTGGGTCTTATAATAAGGACCGGAGGAGTATATATTCTTGTGGTAAGCTCTGTTCCTGTTATGCAAGTAACTTATAATAAAAAATAGAGTGGTAAGAAAATTAATTAATTGATACCTTTTTAGCATTAAATGACCTTATCCCAGAGAATCCAAATCATTAAAGAGAGAAATCTCACATAACTTAATGAATCACTTTCTTAGCAATATAGGTCTTTAAACCGTAAGTCTACAGCATTTAATATTTATTCTCTATTTTATTCTTCTAGACAATTAAATTATAAATTATTTAAAAATTTAATATTATTATGTCACTAGTTTGACCATTAGTCTAGCTAGTTGAATTAAGAAAATAATGACCCATCTGTTCCTCATATTATATATATAACCCAGAAGGGTTGAAAGAACCAGAACATATATTTCACATGTAATCAGAATTTTAATACGCACTATTCATGAGCAACCGCTAAGACCTTAGTGCGAAGACATCATAAGAAGCCAATTCAGAAAGCAATAGAATTTATTGTATTGTACTCCCTCCTTTTCAATTCAACATGAGGAGCCGGTTGAAATATATACTAGTGTTTCTCTTTTTTCACTATCTCCTCCCCGCCAGCCGTTACCGAAACAGGGACCTAAACTAATTTGCTCCCCCTAATTACTGGCAATGTCTTCTCTGCATAATCATGTAATAATATACCCATATATACATTATTTTGATTCACAATTAAAATTAAAATAATCAATATATGACTTAAGATTTAATAATTCATGCAAGAAGATATATGGTTGTGGAAAATGAGACTAGAGAAAGTAGCTAAACTGAGCTTAGGTTGTTAATTACCGGCTAATACTCGAGTATGGGTGGAAGGAAGGAAGAGAAATGTGGAAGCCAAAATTAGTAAAACAGTTATAATAGCGTTCTTCATTGTTATACGAACTCTCAATTTTTGGCCTTTTAAGGCTCATACAACATTAACCCATCGTCTCCGTTTTTAATCTCGTGAGAGGCAAACACATAGTTGAATTGTATGCTCCATTTATACTTATCTAATTCTATTTATAAGGTAGAAAAAAGGAGCTGATTTAGGTGCTCATCTTAAAGCTCATTCCATCCGGATTGTCCAGATATGATCTGGATGGTCCTGATTTAATTTTTTTATTTTTACTTTTTTAAAATATTTTTTTATAAAGAGTATAGAATATAAAATAAAAATAACATCTTAATTATCAATTTATTAAAAAATTATTTTTTTATTTGGAAATAATTAATTAAAAATGTCTTATTTGGACCATTCAAATCAAATATGAATGATCTAGATAGGATGAGCTTTGGGTACCGGTTCTATGGTGGGGGGAGATAGAGTATTTTTTTACATCTTTAATTTAAGTCATCTTATTAAATTTGTTATATCAATACATAGTTTTACTTGTAATTTATTGTTTTATAAATTGTTATTTTGTTGGAAAGGGTAGGTGTGTGTATATATATGTTAAATAGGCCGGGATAAGATAGAAAATTTAATAAATTTTAATACAGAGCTGATGAGATTTAAAATTTTTCTAACTTCTAGTAAAACATGTTAAAAGTGTCTTAATATATGGGACTATAGGAGTAGTTGATACTACAAGATTTCTATTTTGATTAAATTAAATTGTATTCTCAGCTTTATTGCTTGATTAAGATTTTTAAAGAAACTCTTGCATCTGCCAACCATTTTAAAATGTGAATAATGTTAAGTATGATTTATTCTCTCATCTCTCTAACCAATGGTAAAAAAGTAAAAAAAAAAAAAAAAGCTAAAAGAGATATTAAAAATAATTTTATTTTGATGAGGTCATAGGAAGACTTGCTCATTGACCCGAGAATGAAAACAGCATCACTAGGAAATTGATAGCGGTCAGTGAGAAAAGGAAATGAGAGGGAAAGAGATAAATTATAATTATAAAGTACAAAAATTTCCGCCAATTAGTCCAACTGCATAGAATATTATTATAACGTAATGTATTATTTTATTTTGGACTAGTGGTACTAACTGTTGACATTTTTTTAAAAATAAGAAGATATGATAATTAAACTGATTCGGTCGTGGGAAGACTAGCTCATTGACTCGAGAATGAAAACAATTTAGATGCTGTTTCCTGGAAATTCATAGAGTCACTGTTAAAAAAGCATAAGAGAGGAAGATAACAATTCATCTTAATTTTATACAATTACCGTAGAATTAGATTAATGTGCTACTTAGTGGTTGGTAGGTCGAATTATAGAGGACATTATCTGATTTCGGGAAGTATTTCTGATTTCAGATTAAATTAGTATTTGAGGGACAAAATAATAGTGGCGGAAAATGACTAAAGAAAGTTGGATAAGTTGCCAGCATTATATTGATAGAACAAATTCCTTTATTACGACTAAGACTTAGAAGCAAGGCTGTTCACACTTCCTTTGGGAAAATTCCTATAGCATTTCAATTTGAATAGGTTTACAACAATTTCTAATTTTCAAAAATAGTATTTCAATTTGTTGGCAAAGGTTTAACATTGAAAGTTATGTTCCATGTTCATTGAGTCCAACCTACTTTGATAATTTACCCTTCATTCTTGAGTCCAAATTCATTTGCTTTCGGTTTATTTGGATCAGTAGTGCTTCAGTTGCTTTTATAAAAATATGCTTTTGCGTTATTTTTCTGCATATGAATCGCTCAAATTATATGAAATGAAAATAATATAAAATAATGTAAAAATAGGCACAATAAAATTACATGATAGAAGACGAACTTCATATTTACATATATATATATATATGTATATATTAAATTGACTAGTAGCAAATAAACCATAGGATATCATCGTCTTCTCAAGTACAACACGGCCACATACATAACTTTAAGAACCTCTCACTTACAAAAACACAGACAAACACAATACATAGAATTCATCAGAAATGATGGTCAAGAGACAATAAAAGCTAGAAAGAAGATATTAGAAACTTCTCACTCCACATACGCAAAACGACCTTTTATTTAATATTTTAGAGGATAATATTCATCATTATTAGTCATATATTTCTTTTGCTACTTCTTGCAATTACGTGTATATGGAGGGCAAGTTGGTTTGGGCGCAGGTTTAAGGCAAGATCTGTAAGGAGAATTAGGAGGACATTCAACTGCAGGCTTGTTCCTATTATTTGGTGGCGAGGTCAAATCTGCAAAATATCATGTAATATTTGCAAAATGTATAACGTCAGTTTAAATAACCAAAAAAAAAGAAAGAAAAATGAATATATGTGTGTGTAACGCATAATAATTTCATGGTTGGAAAAGGTGGCAAATTAAACTAAAGTTTTGAGTTGTTACCATATAATCCACGAGCTTCAGTGGAAGAAGGATGGGAGAGAAATGAAGAAACCAAAATGAGAAAAGCAATTAGAATAATAGCCTTCTTCATTGTTTGAGAGATAGTAGAGAAAACACTAACAATAATTGTCAATAATGCCTTTGGTATGCTCCACACAACACTACCCCTTCATATCTATTTATAGGCTCGAGGAAGAGAATCGAAGTTGAAATTGTTAACAATAATTGGTGTGTGAGTTTCCCGGTGAATTCCATCCAAAAAATGACAATATATTACTCCTCCGGTCCTTAATATAAGACCTATTTAACTAATTTGATTAGATTAAGGAAGTTAGGTAAGTTAGTTAATTATAATAAATATGACATGTTTTTTCTAAAATACCTTAATCATCTTTATTATATCCTCCCCCTCCTACTTGATTATAATTGACAGAGTATTAATACGGATGATTTGGAAAAAATTGATAGATATAAGAAATAGGTCTTATATTTAGGATTAAAATTAACTCTATAATTAGGTCATATATTAAGGATTAGAGGAGTAATATTAGACGTAAGACTAAAATTGACTTTTCTCTCTAAATTTATAATTTTTTTAAAAAGTATTTTTATTGATTGCATATATTAGGAGCAGTTTCAATCTGTAAATGACTAAATGGGTGTTTTAAAAAAAACCAACATATATCTTTTATATATAACTAAATTAATTAATTTTCTTCATCTCTATCAATTTGTTGTCCAGCTCTATAGTTATGACCGAATGGAATATCATTTTAAAAATATACAAATATTTCAAAGTAATTTATTTAGTTTTTTAATGTTTCTAAATTAATTAAATGATTTTTATATTAAGAATAAGAGATAGTATATTAAAAGAAAAAAATTTTAAACTGACTTGGTCGTACCTTATCTTCAACACATGGGTCCCTCGACCTTTTGCTTTTCATTTTTTTTCGACAAACTCATCCTAAATTCAACTCCTTTCACTTACGGTCAAATTAAATGTGGCCAAATTATAGGAACCTTCTAGCTTAATGACGCTTAAGTGTCTCTATTTTGACGGTGACTCCAGAAAGTTGCTTTAAAAAAAATTTTTCCCTAGTGATTAACGATAATAGAGTTTCCATTGGCTATGTATCTTCATTTAATTTGTTACTTCTTAAAATGCTTGCCGAAATAAATGAAAGAATAAAAGAAGCTTTATTTATTGACTATATGTAGGCTGACTTATACTCCCTCTAATATAAATATGGATGAGCTAAATATAATATCCTAATTCACTTCTTTTCACAAATTTATAATTATTTTTTCAAATAATCATAATGATTCCATATAGTACTTGAGTCCAAATTCGTTCTTATTAGAATATATGGTTATACTTAAAACCTTGGATTTGTATAACTCATTTTAAACTTTAGAACATTTTAATGTAAAACTTAGTTTTATAAAAAATAAATTAAAAAAGGCATCTCGGAGCCAGCCCTATGCCGGATTAAGATTGGGTATCAGAAAATGGTTATATTTGAGGCAACAAGGCTCCTAGACCTATCAATCGGGTTGAGTCCAGCGGAAAGAGTTAATCCCTCATAACGTGACGAACCAAGGTTCAAATCCTCATTGATAGAAGTGCTAACATTTAGTGCCAACAGTACCTCGAATAGGATTATTTTCAATAGAAAGATACCTATATGTTAGCCTAATTGGTGATTATCTAATTAATTTCTTCTTTAATTTAAATTCAATCAAAATATGAACTGTTGTTTGATATTCTACTTCATGTTCTTAATACAAGACTAATTTAATTAATTTAAAAAAATAAATAAATTACTTAATTATAACATATGTTACATAATATCTTTAAAATGCATATGCAAATCATTAGATTATATAGTGATTTATAGGTTAAGTAAATCAGTTTTAAAAAGTAATAAATACAAATATTTCAAAGTAATTTATTTTGTTTCTTAATGTTTCTAAATTAATTAAATAAGTTTAATATTAAGAATAAGATATATCATATTAAAAGAAAAAGATTTTAAATTGACTGGGTCGCACCTTATCTTCAACACATGGGTCCCTCCACCTTTTGCTTTTCATTTTTTTCCAACAAACTCATCCTAAATTCAATTCCTTTCATTTACGATCAAATTAAATGTGGCCAAATTATAGGAACCTTCTAGCTTAATGACGTTTAAGTGTCTCTATTTTGACGGTGACTCCAGAAAGTTGCTTTAAAAAATTTTGTTTTTCCAAGTGACTAACGATAATAAAGTTTCTGTTGGCCATGTATCATTCATTTAATTTGTTACTTCTTAAAATGCTTTTGCTTTTACCATTTCTTTGCCAATTGCCGAAATAAATGATAGAATAAAAGAAGCTTTATTTATTGACTATATATAGGCTGACTTATACTCCCTCTAATATAAATATATAGATGAGCTAAATATAATATCATGATTCATTTTTTTCACAAATTTATAATTATTTTTTCAAATAATCCTAATGATTGCATATAGGACTTGAGTCCAAATTCGTTATTATTAGAATATGTGGTTATACTTAAAGCCTTGGATTTGTATAATTCATTTTAAACTTTGGAACATTTTAATGTGAAACTTAGTTTTTAAAAAAATAAAAATAAATTAAAAAAGGCATCTTGGACCCAGCCCTATGCCGGATGAAGATTGGGCATCAAAAGATAGTTATATTTGAGGCAACAAGGCTGCTGGGCATATCAATGGAAGTTGAGTCTAGCAGAAGGAGTCAGTCCCTCACAACGTGATGAACTAATGTTCGAATCCCCACTGAGAGAAGTTCCCATATTTAGTGCTAACAGTACCTCGAATAGAATTACTTTCAATAGAAAGATACCTATACTTTAGCAAAAAAAAAAAAAAAAAAAAAGAGGAAATGATGCACAGGTCCCAAGGAGTAAACTTTATTCATATAAAGTCCCCACAAAATGTCACAATTACTAGCAGGTCCCTAGGGACCTTAGACCTTAGAGTATTATATTCTGATTGTAAAATGATATTACTACTCCTCAAATTCCCAATTCACATTTTCTCTGCCACTACGATTGACAACCTAAGCAATATCCACTGACAACTTATTTTATAGGATTACATAATCTTCACATAAGAGTAAATTATAGCCAAATAGTATAATATAATACAACAACTTTAACACTGAAATGGGAAGCTTTTCAGAGGCATTAAAAACTTTACCTAAACCCAATAGGATTACAGCAGAATTTTAATATAGAGATCCATTGACAACCTCAACTATGAGTATTAACAACCCAAGGGGAGTTGTAGACAACCTAGGCAGTGATAACCTCAACTATGAGTATTAACAACCCAAGGGAAATTGTTGACAATCTAGGCAGTATCTGTTGACAATTACTTTATAGAATAATATAACCTTTACATAAAATCAAATTATAACTAAATAGTATAACATAACAACTTTAACACTATTTAGTTATAATTTAATTATAGTTGTTAGATTACAACTACATAAGTTGTGATTAGCTCCGGTGATTTTTTTCCCCAAAATAATGCAAGGGCATAATTGTCTTTTCATCCATAATATTTAATTTCATTCTGAGGAAAGGGAGTGAAATGAAGTTTTAGAATATCATGGGATTGTTGGAAAATAAATTTATTTAGAAGGGACTGACGGAAATTTCCCCCTTTTAAATTGATCAAAGTGCCTTTGGTGAAAGATTCATAAACCTATCGGTCATTTATTGGCTTAGGTTCGGTTTATATAGAAATTAAACTGATTATTAATACACACACACATAAAGTGCAGACACAATTTACGTCTATTTAGAACAGAAGTAAAAAATCACTTTTTTACTTCTGTTTTTCCAAAAATAGACGTGAATGTGCTCGTTTTTTTTTTAAAAAAAATTCACTTCCTAAATGCCATCACAGAAGTAAATTTACGTCTGTTTTTGGAAAAATGGAAGTAAAAAGTTTTCCCATTTACTACTGTTTTCCAAAAATAGACGTGAATGTGCTCGTTTTTTTTTTAAAAAAAAATTCACTTCCTAAATGCCACTTCTCCTATAGCCACAATAGCCATAATAGCCACTTCCCAGTAAGTTGAAATAGTATGAACTAGTCAATATTTTCAGCCAAGACATATGAAGATCATAACTTCATCAATATATTATTGACACATTAACTAACTAGTCAAAAAGAAGAACAAATTGCAAAAGTCAAAATTGATAACCTATTATCTCTATACATAAACTTGATCAATCCCTAGACCACCATTCTTGAAGCAGTTGCTATGCCAAAAGGTCTCGGATGAAGTCAATATCATCAACAGTATATGAGCAATCATTATCAAAAATCTGTAAATTTTCAAACAAGTTAGTTAATAAGGATTTCAAACTTCAAATCCATTACACAATCAATGTAAATAAATTTCAACCTATCTAAATGCAATTTTTTCATTAATAATTTAATGTATACCCAATCATTCATCTAAATTCAATGCATATAGGAAACTATCTAAATGCAATCTCTTTTAGACATTTTGACAAACACCTTGTATGCATTATTTTTCTAACAAGTATTAGCAAGGCTTGAAATCTTCAAATTTTCTACCCAATCAATATATACAAATTTAAAAATCTAAACACAATTCTTCAATAAAAATTTGAACAACAACCTTAGATTAATTGACGGAATGGAGAGAGGAGGAGGACGACATATTAAACCCACAATGCAACCGTTGAATGAACTTACCTTCACTGCAGATCGAGACTGTTCTAGCTTGCCTTCGAATCTGAGTATATCATGGGATGGAGAGAGGAGGAGGACGGCGAGCTACTGTGCGTGTGAACTTCACTGCTTCAGCCTTGTTAATAGACGCCGATGAGCTGCTGCAACACGGAAATGATAGATGACGCAAAACAACGGCAATGGAGGGAGGGCTAGCTGCAGAATAACGGCCTTGAGAGAGTTGAAATGAGAGGGAGAGTTTCAGAGTAGCTCACGGCTGCAGGTAGAAGACGAAAATGAGAGGGAGAGAGCGAAAAATCAGAGTTCCCGCATGTGCTAGCTGCTGATGGCTGGTGACTTAATTACTTCGCGATACTGATATGAAGCTGATGACGACAAATTTTTTTTTAAAATGAGTCACCTTCACGTC